CTGGGCTGGAACCCGGAGTAGAGGGCGGGCCTGGATTCCCCCCAAACCTCCCAATTGACCTGGACTGTGGGTTCTTCCAGAGGGGAAGATCTCTGGGCTATTCCCCAACCCACATGGTGAATCTCTGAGGCAAGAAAATCCACCAATAAGCGCAGGACCCACCAAGATAGAGGAGGAACTTTGTCACACCATGTTCCCCAAGAAAACTCACATTGCCATGAGCTATTGGCCACCTAGAAGTTAAATGCTTTGCTAGTTTTGCCAGATGGATTCATTCTCATATCAGTCACTTTTTCTGATTTTCAGTGAGCATCATACATTTACTGATGACTTTTCTCAGAGTCTCCTTAACATCTCTGTTTCTCAGGCTGTAGATGAGGGGATTGGCCAGGGGAGTCAGGACTGTGTAGAAGAGAGAGAAGACTTTGTTGAGGTCTCTATGTGTGTCAGTTTCTGGTAACATATAGACAAAGAATAGGGTCCCATAGTACATTGTCACCATGATGAGATGAGAGGAGCAAGTGGAAAATGCCTTTTTCCTTCCCGATGGTGGATGGGATTCTCAAGATGGTGGAGATGATAAAAACATAGGATGTCAGGGTTAATAGAAATGGGGGTAGGGTGAATATGGAACAGAGTATAAAGGTCACCAATATGATCAGTCTGGTGTCACTGCAGGAGAGTTTAATCACTGGGGTGAAATCACAAAGGAAATGGTTAATTTCATTGGGACCACAGAAATGTAACTGTGACATTAAACATGTAACTACGGTAGTTGCCATAAATCCACTCATCCAGGAGACAGCTGCTAACTGAAGGCAGATTCTGCCATTCATAAGAGCAGTGTAGCGCAGTGGTTTGCATATTGCTAAATACCGGTCATAGGACATTACTGCTAGGAGGTAACATTCTGAAGCTGCAAGGCAACCAAAGAAATAATATTGTACAATGCACCCTATAACAGAAATGGTTCTGTCTCCAGTCAGGAGACTGGCCAGAATTCTGGGCAGGATGGTGGAGGTGTAGCAGGTCTCCAAGCAGGACAAGTTCCCCAGGAAGAAGTACATAGGGGTGTGAAGGTGCTCGTCAGCCACAACTAGCACAGCAATGAGGATGTTCCC